AGTCCAACTCTCACATCCATACATGACTACTGGAAAAACCACAGCCTTGACTAGATGAACCTTTGTTGGCACAGTAATGTCTCTGCTTTTTAATATGCTGTCTAGGTTGGTCATAACTTTCCTTCCAAGGAGTAAGCGTCTTTTAATTTCATGGCTGCAGTCACCATCTGCAGTGATTTTGGAGCCCCCAAAAATAGTCTGACACTGTTTCCACTGTCTCACCACCTATTCCCAGCTTACCTGTCTATGGATTCCTCAGTCTGTCCCCCAATCCCTTCTTCCGTAAGGATCAATTCACTCATTTGTTTGTTCATGCAGCATTTAGGGCCACTGGGCTTTGTGAAGCATGAGATGAATCAGGCAAATACCAGGCCCTAGAGAGGTTCGCAGTCCAGGGAATAAGAAAGACACATATACTGAAAAATTATAGTCAATGTGATGGAGCTGTGAAAGGGGGAAGGCCAAGGGTCATGGAGCAGAGAAGGGGTTCTGAACTAGGGTGCTAGAAAGATCCCCTCTAGGAAGAGGGGTTTTTAGGGCAGAGAGTGAGCAGGAGTAAACTATCTGGAATAGTGGGGTGGGGGAGACTTCCTAGGACATTTCAAACTTCTGAGATGTAGCTTGGGGAGATGATGACAGTTGAGGTCTGGAAGGCTTAAACTTCATGAAAAGAGGTTGCATTTCACAATCCGCTGTACTCTAGACCAGGGGTCCCCAGTCTCTGGGATCTAATGCCTGATGATCTGAGGCAGAGCTGACGTAATAATAATAGAAATGAAGTGAAAGTGTTAGTTGCTCAGTTGTGTCCGACTCTTTGCAACCTCATGGACTATCGTCCACCAGGCTCCTCTCTTTGTGGGATTTCCCAGGCAAGAATACATTTCCTTCTCCAGGGGATCTTCCCAACCCAGGGACTGAACCTGGGTCTGCTGCATTGGAGGCAGATTCTTTAAAGTGCCCAATAGATGTAAAGTGCATGAACCATCTTGAAACCATCCCCTCTACTGCCGGTCTGTGGGAAAATTGTCTTCCATGAAACCGCTCCCTGGTGTGATCTCCTGCATCACAGGAGAATTCTTTACTATCCGAGCCACCAGGGAAACTCCAGGAAAAGAGGCTACCAAATCTTTAAGAGATCACGATTCCCGACGAGGCCAAGAGCTCCTTGGTATTCCTTCCCAGATCAGGCTTCCTGAGATTTCACTGAAGGTGAACTAATGCATTTTAGAAACTCATCAGCACAGGAAGAGCTTTTGGAGATTTAGCCCTCAGTCCTGTGCCTGGGACGTGATGCAGGCTCAGGAAGTCTCTCTGTGGACACTGAGGTAATGATACCTCATGATCGCTGGATGAGGCATCTTAGAGTGAATTTCTGAGAAGTGCTGATGTTCTTGGGCTTGAGACTGTGTCCGGTGCCCAGTGATGGGATTCCCCCACCGCTCTGCATCCCAGGGTGGGGGGACCCTGAACATCTCTAGTGTTTTTCTGTGATCAGAGCCCAGGGGCTCCTAGTGTGCCCAAGAAAGAGCCATGCATTTCCTGGGAGACCCAACAGTTCTTGCACATGCAGTTTGCTCAGCCAGGAAATGCACTGCCTTCACAAGAATCCCAGCGTCTCTAGAGCAGGAGACGCTGCCCTTCAGCAAGGCCCCTTCACTGGGTTGCAGGGAACCTGGCTCTTTTCCTCATTGGCAATTGCTGTTTCTTGCCCACTGGGACCTCCTGAAATATGTCTCCTGGACACAGTTTTGGTTTACTCCTGTTCACCCTTTTTGATTAATTTCGTGCACAGCTTGAGCCAAACATGGTTGCTAATTTTTCCATATTCCCTTAAGCCATGTCCCCAGCCAGCAGCCATAGTAATTACTGGACCTGGAGGCAGGAGTCTGCACTCTGACCTGTTTCTTTCCACCAGTTCCTTATAAACATTTTAGTTCATTTACCGGGAAAAGTAAACCACCTCCAAGGCCCTTGCAGGCATATCACGTGTCCTGTTGCCCTAGTTCAGTTCAGTTCAGTTCAGTTGCTCAGTTTTAAGAATGAACTTGTTCACCAAAAAATAATTAGCACAAGAAGACAGAATATTATTAGGGGCCTCATTAATTTCACCGAGTTTATTTAAATCGCAGGAGGATGTCAAATCAATAATGATGGCTAATTAAGAAAAACACATCTGATTTCCTTAAAGTACATGGAAGGCTGCAGCGGGGAGGAGGGTGAGAAGTTTCTGGTAAATAGAGATGGTACCTCATCTCTTAAAAATGGCGGGGACCAGAGGTGAGCTAGGTAGGTGTCCTTGCTGAATTAGGGAAAGGGTTGACTGCAGTAGATGTGAAGTTTGAAGTGATTAACTCCAGAGGAACTAGTGGCCTGAGACCCCATGTCATCATGAGATGTCCCCCTTCCCCTATCTCAAATTTCATTAGAAGACTGTGGATTAGGGTGAAAAATAAGGAATTAGAACCAGCTGGTTTTGAATCCTAGTCCTTGCACTTACCCCTGGGGTGGGAAGATCCCCTGGATTAGGAAATGGCAACCCACTCCAGTATCCTTGCCTGGAAAATCCCATGGTCAGTGGAGCCTGGCAGGCAACAGTCCATATGGTTTCAAAGAGTCAGAACACAATTGAGCACACACAGGCACCCTCCACTTATATCGATGCAACTTTGGGCAGCTCCTATAATAAGTCGGGGACCATAAAGACTCACCTTCTAGGATACTATGAATTTAAATGAGATGCTTTAGAAGGGCTTGGTTGTCTGGTGTAGGACGTACTCAGAAAGTGTCCTCTCTTCCTGCCTCTTCTTTTGATTCCATTCCTCCCCTGGAGAGGGACCAAGTGTCCTGCTGCTGACTTTGCTCATCAGAGGCGAGGCCATGTTCCCTACCTCAGAGGGACCCCAAGTCTTCCCTTCATGTTTCTCTGCAGGTTGAAGCTGTGGAAGAAGCCCTGAAAAGTGAAAGTGAAAGTTGCTCACTTTGTGTCCGACTCTTTGTGACCCCATGGACTATGTAGTACATGGAATTCTCCAGGCCAGAATACTGGAGTGGGTACCTGTTCCCGTCTCCAGTGGATCTTCCTGATCCAGGAATCGAACCGGGGTCTCCAGCATTGCAGGTGGATCCTTTACCAGTTGAACCAGCTGAGCTACCAGGGAAGCCTGGAAGAAGCCCTGGGCATCCGTAATCATCTATTAGAGGTGATTTTATTACATCCACCCTGCTCTCTGCTCAGTAACAGCAGCATGCTTTGGGAGCTCCCATCATCAGGATGTTTGGGCAGAGTCCACCAGCTTCAAACAGAACAATTTGTTCTGAGCACACAGCCCCGAGTGATGGCAGAGGAAAGAGTGGGAGGCTTGATCTACAAAGGAGCATCCTTTCCTCTACTCTCCGCCAGGGAGGGAGGGAGCCGGCTGGGAGCTGAGAGCTGCATGAGCGATCCACCCATGGAGGAAATGCTAGTGTGGCTTTTCAGCTCGGCTTGTGTGTTTTGTTTTTATTGTTTTAAGGGAAAATTTTCTTTCGGATATTTGAACTGATTCCTTGGAAAACCAGGTGCAAACCCAAGGAACACTTAGGGGATCATTTTGAAGCAAATTAGAGGGTTTTCCTCCTTGGTGTCTGGAACTTGAAATGACTTTGTATGTTGAGAGCACTCCCACTTTAGAGGTGGGTAAACTGAGACCTGGGGCTTCTCAAGCAGCTCAGTGGTAAGGAACCTGCCTGCCAACGCAGGAGACTCGGATTCGACCTCTGGTCCGGGAAGATCCCCTGCCAGCCGGGAAATGGCTACCCACTCCAGTATTCTTGCCTGGAAAATTCCGTGGACAGAAGAGCCTGGCAGGCCACCGTCTACGAGGTCGCAGAGTCCGACAGGACTGAGCCACTGAGGACGCACACACACAGACTGAGGCTCCGAATGTTCTTGCAGGTCTAAGTGGCAGAGGCAGGTGAGACCCAGCAGGAAGGCAGATAGGGTTGGGGACTGCTGACACGTGCTACTCTTAAAGCCCCTCATTGCTCTGTTTCCACGTCAGTCTCCCGCTGTCAGGAGGGTGCACTTGTCTAAGAATTAGGAGCGTGGCCCACCTATTTCTGGGTTGCGGGTGCCTCAGTGCCTGCTTGGCATGTGGCAGAGACCAACCCGTGTTCATTGACTGAATATGGGAATAATGGCCACAGGGGTCCAAGCTCCAGATGTGTGTTCGGAGCGAGAGCCCAGAGCCCTGCAGGGCAGGAAGGAGAGCGGGGACCAGTGGCGCCCCCACTGGTGGGAGTGGGCACCCGGGCACCCTTGCTGGCTGAGAGCCTGTGCCTGGTAGCCCCGCCCCAGACTCTGAATGTGCAGTCCCGTCCACCCCCAGAGCGTGTGTGCGCGGAGGGCGAGGTTATCCTTGTCACAGATGAGAGGCAGCTGAGACTCAGGCAGGTTTACCAGCTTGCTGAAGGCTTCTTGTTGTTTAGTCGCTCAGTTGTGTCTGACTCTTTGTGACCCCACGGACTGTAGCCTGCCACGCTTCTCTGTCCATAGGATTTCCCAGGCAAGAATACCGGAGTGGGTTGCCAACCCAGGGATTGAACCCGGGTCTCCTGCACTGGCGGGAGGATTTTTTTTTCTACCACTGAGCCACCAGGGAAGCTCTGCTGAAGGTTACCCAGGGAGAAAAAGAGGAAGTCAGGTTGCCCTCTTCAAACCCCATGTCCCTGTCTCCTGCATTGCAGGTGGATTCTTTACCAGCTGAGCCACCAGGGAACCAGTGGTTAATTTCTAGCAGGAAATGCTGAGCTGAGCAGCACGGTCAGGGTGAGAATGACGTGGGTGTGATATTAGTGCTGGGGCATCATCAAACAGTGTATGGGCAGGATGGTTTCAAAGGCAGCAAGGTAGGGGTTCCAGAACAGGGGTAGGGGTGGGGGCTTCATTCTCTTGGCCGTGAGAGGTTGGAAACCAGAAGGAGCAAATAGATGGGCGCTCTAGTGCTCACAGCTGTCGTGCTTTGAATGATGCTATGGGAGAAGCAGGGGCTCCATAAATATTTTTTAAGGAATAGATGAAGAATTGGCAACCGTCTAGTTATGAGTCTCATAGGGGGATGTGACTGGATCTCAGACACAGAGCAGGGCACTGCAGGTGACCCAGAAAGTTGAGATTTGAAGGCCATTCTGATAGGATCTGGAGCCTCAGACTGCTTGAGTTTTCCTGGACAACTTTCATCAGGTCTGGGGACTTGGAGGGAGTGGAGCCTGACACATGGTCACCAGTCTGCCCAGGAGGACGGAGAGGGAGCAGGCAGGCACCAGGCACCTTGGCACCATTTTCTCTGGATCTTCTCTACTTGGCGTCAGCTCCAGTGGACAGCTTGGTAGCAAGGTCTCTTTTCTTCTGTGTTCTGTTTCCTTTACCAGGGGCATCTCTAGCTTTTAGCTTGTGGTCAGAGTGGAGAAAAGTATCACCTGAGGAAGGTTCTCTCAGCTCAGATGGCAGCTCCATCTCCTGTTCCCACATCCAGATAGATCTTACCTCCAGCATCCCGGCAGGAACTGCTCATCCCAGTTTTGTTAAAGCAGACACCTCAGTGGTGCATCATGCTGACCAAAGGGATCACTTCTTCCAAGAGAAAAAAGCATTAAGGAATTCTTTCCTAGACCCTTTGAGTATGGAGACCTGGGACAGCCACCCTCCAGGGAGACTGAGTTCAGTTTTCTGGATGCTCCTCCAGATCAGTTTGAAAGATAATGATGGCACAGAAGATCACATGTCTGTTTTAATAAAGATCACAGGAGGATGGCACAATCCTCCCCAAAGCCATTCCTTGTCCTGAGGCACTGATCCCCTAGAGCCTGGCTGTCCTTCCAGATATGGGGACACTTGCCACCAACATAGCTAAGTTCGGGGTGAAGTTCTGGTTCATAGGAAGGCAGAGCAAAGAGCTCTGGGGGGGGTTTAAGTCTCCTTCCATTGGCCTTGCTATGACTCTATTCTTGCTTGTCCTTCAGAACCTGCAAAGAGCCCAGTTAATGAGCAGCCAATCTGTCCTCACCAACTGCAGCTCGAGTTTCTTTCTGCCTTTGGCAATTTCACCTGCTGTGTTCCCGTCAATGGGGCCCAGGTAGAAACTGGAGCAAGTTGGGATAAGTTTGATTGGGCCCCAAATGTGATTAACCAAGACTGGCTCACATATGCTCTGCCGGTGTTTAGCATGCCACAAATTCTAGCATTACCCGGTGGGCCCTAAAAGCCATTCTCTTTTTAATGTTCCTTGCCTAGTTTACTTAAGTTGGAATTTAAATCAAAGGGTAACACCTATATTGGGGATAACTTTAGAGTTTATCTTAATATAATGGCTAATAAATGTCATGTTTTAAAGCAGCTTTATAAAAACAATAGTTTTTAACAATGTTATATACTTTTAAGGAAATCTGGTAAGCAGTTGACTGAATCTGGTACACTGTAATTTTACACATTATAAAAACAGAGCTACAAGAATAGGGGGCGATAGGCTCTAAGGTACCAAACCAGAGCCAACATGGGTATTGGGATGTCCACAGAAATAGAAATGGAGCATCCTGCATCTCTCCAACTCAAGTCCAAATAGGTCTCCTTGGAAACAGGGTTTCTTCATCAGCTTCTTTTAAATTGGAAAGATGTAAACAACAGACTGGTTCCAAATAGGAAAAGGAGTACGTCAAGGCTGCATATTGTCACCCTGCTTATTTAACTTCTATGCAGAGTACATCATGAGAAACGCTGGTCTGGATGAAGCACAAACTGGAATCAAGACTGCTGGCAGAAATATCAATAACCTCAGATATGCAGATGACACCACCCTTATGGCAGAAAGCAAAGAGGAACTAAANTCATGAGAAGAGTTGACTCATTGGAAAAGACCCTGATGCTGGGAGGGATTGGGGGCAGGAGGAGAAGGGGATGACAGAGGATGAGAAGGTTGGATGGCATCACCAACTCGATGGACATGGATGGGTTTGAGTGGACTCCGGGAGTTGGTGATGGAGAGGGAGGCCTGGTGTGCTGCGATTCGTGGGGTCGTGAAGAGTCGGGCATGACTGAACGACTGAACTGAACTGAACTGAACTGAAGCATGGCTCAGAGGTAAGGAAGCCTCCTGCCATGGCAGGAGACACAGGCTCAACCCCTGGGTTGGGAATATCCCCTGGAGAAGGACAATCTATTCCAGCATTTTTCCCTGGGATGTCCCATGGACAGAGGAGCCTTGCCGGCCACAGTCCACAGGGTTGCAAAGATTTGAAGACAACTTAGCTACTAATACAACAACAAAGTATTACTGCATGCTCAGGGGACCTTCTTAGAATCAACATTTCTAATTCTAGCACTTGGGGAAAAACACTTCACTGACTCCATCTTGGTCGAATGGGATCATGGGAGATCACATGAAAGGATTTGATAGTTTTTATCTTGCCCTAGCCATGCCTCTGACATGATCTGCAGCTTTAGATGGATCCCTTAATCTCACAAAGGTTCACGCTCTTCGTCTGTGAGATGAGGGATTTGGGCAAGGTCTCTGAGTCTGGCTCCATGCTTGTATGCCTCTATCCCACATCCTATTTGAAGAAGACTGTGGGACTTCTCCAAAGCCCATTCTATTTTCAGAAAGGAACAAAACCCTCACCAAAAAGCATGTGTCATCCGGCTGACTGTACATAGCATCCTGGGCAAAACAGACGTGTTCTGGCAACTCTGTTAAATGTCATCTCAAAAGAGGTGAGTTTCTGATGAGCTCATAAATACATCTTTTCTGTCTGTTCTAGAAAAGCTTACTGATTTTTTTATTTATTTACTTTAAACAAGTCAAGTTATATAAGCTGGCTAGACCACTCCAAATCCGCACCAGGCTATATGGGACATGAGGGCATTGAC